TACCGGCGCAGCGCGTGCTCCCCGCGGAACCGTGGGCTCAGTGGGCCTTTCTCAAACGGGTAATTGATGGTGGCCGGCTCACGGAAAAGGTAGCTCAGGGTCATGGCCAGGCCTGCGGGGGAGAAAGAGGAGTTATGGCGTATTTGGGAGGGAGGGGTCACCCCACAAATGAGGAGGGTGAGCAGGGTCTCACCTCGGACGAGCTCAGTCCAGAGCAGGGTCTGGGCGGCGCGGTCGGTGATGGATCGCATGTCCATGGCCGGCTCCCGGATGTTGACGTACTCTGTGGGAAGAGGGGAGCTGTGCCCACCCTGCAGAGCCCTGGGGTGGGAGCTGGGCCCCCTGGGGGGTGGCATGGCTGTACTCACTGTAACAGTCCCTGGGGGTGCTGGTGCTGAGCGGGCGCAGGGAGCCCAGTGGGGCCAGGGGGCCTGGGGAGGGAGAGGAGGGTCAGCAGGGCCACGATGGGGTTTGGGGGGTTCAGGAGGTTTGGGGATTCCTGGGTGACCTCACCTGCACGGGCAGCCTGGTACAGCAGTCGCAGCGCTGCCATGGCCGGTCCTGGGGGGCAGAGGGAACCTCAGCAAATACCAGTAAGGGACTGGGGCAGCCAGGGGCCCCCACTTCCCATCAGGGACACTGGCACCCTGATCCCCACTCCTCCACCCAAAGAGACTCAGACCCCCAGGCACTCCTGTCCCAACAGTCCACAAAGAACCCCCAGTGCTTTCCCCCAGGGATCTAAGCATCCCGTTTCCTCTTCCAACCTCTCTCAAGGCACCCAGGCATCCTATCCCTCCTTGCAGCCCCCTGTTAAGAGACCCGAGTGCATCCCCCAAGTATCCTGTCCACCCCCTGTAAGGGACCCAGCTGTTCCCCCAAGGGACCCGCACCCCTCAGGGACACCCAGGTGTCCCCTCCCCATCCCACCGCTAAGGATCCAGGGGCCCTGATGTCCTGACCCCTCCAAGGGACCCACGTGTCTCCCCATATCCGTCCCCACGGTCCTCCCCCCCGTCGCCCCGCACCCACCTGAGCCCCCCCGCGGGACCGATCCTTCCTGTCACCCCCCAAGTCCCCGCTCAGCCTGTGTGTGTCCCTTCGGAGAGGATGGCGGCGGAGGGTAGCGCAGTGTCCGGGCCGCCCCNCGCGCTGGAGCGCAAGCGCAGGGACCACATCAAGGACAGCTTCCACAGCCTGCGGGACTCCGTGCCCTCGCTCCAAGGAGAGAAGGTGAGTTTATGGAGTGTGCTGGGGGCACGGACAGCACCCACCTGTGGTCCAGGCTCCTCGATTTGGGACAATCCCCAGGCTCTCTTGTGCCACGGGAGTCCCCAGTGAGGGCCTGAGCCAGGGTGGGATGAGGCGGGTAAAATTCCAGTTTTCCCCCCTGGACTAGGTCTTTATCTTGCCTCTGGCTTTTCCCACTATTGCAACAGGCATCCCGGGCCCAAATCCTGGACAAAGCCACAGAGTACATCCAGTACATGCGCCGGAAAAACCACACACACCAGCAGGACATCGACGACCTCAAGCGGCAGAATGCGCTGCTGGAGCAGCAAGGTGGTAGCTGAGATCTGGCTGGAGATGGGCTCTGGCAGGGTCTGAGATCCAGGAGCTGCGGCCTGGCAGGCCTTGGGAGCCAGGAGAATTTGGGATCTAAGATCCAGTGGGAGCTGGGGTCTGGCAGGAGATATGATGCATCAGCATCCAGGATCTGGTGGAAGCTGAGATCCACTGGGAGTTGGGATCTGGTGGGAGCTGAGGTCTGGCAGGATCTGGGGTCCAGAAGAGTTTGGGATCCAGTGGGAGCTGGGGCCTGTCGGGAGCTGGGCTGCAGGCAGGGCCAGGCCCGGGGTGACACAGTGCCGTCCCTCACAGTGCGTGCGCTGGAGAAGGCCCGAGCCAGCGCCCAGCTCCAGGCCAGCTATCCCGCGGACAACAGCCTCTACACCAACCCCAAGGGCAGTGCCATCTCCGCCTTCGACGGTGGCTCCGACTCCAGCTCCGACTCGGAGCACGAGGAGCCACAGAACAGGAAGAAGCTGCGCATGGAGGCCAGTTAGGCCCCTCCGCCGCCCCCCGGCCCATGGCAGGACTCGCTCCCTCCGCTCCTAGAAGCTCTTGGACTGCAGCTTCCCAGCCCTCCCCGGCCCCTTCCCTGCTCCCACCGCGCCAGCCCCGGGGGGAGCCGGCCAGGCCGAGCAGAAAGACTTGGGGGGGTCAGGGAGACTCCCCCGCCAACTCCCCTCCGCTAGCGACCCCCCTCCCCTTCCCTCCTGGTTTTATAGGAGCATTTCTATTTATACCCGGGGACCAGTGCAGTCCAGAACGGGGAGGAGCCAGGCAGCCCCCCCCCAAAAAGGAGCAAGCACTGGGGGGGGGAATCTCCCTATTTATTTTCTCCATGTGCTACTCCACCTGCCCGAGTCGGCGGAGCACAGAGCCAGGCTTGGGGGCTCCTTCCCCACTCTCTTCCTCCTCCTTCCCTCCCTTGACCCTTCCCAACCTCCGTGGCATTTTCCAAACTCCAGTGGCCCATCCCTGCCCCGTAGGTGCCCCTTTTCCCCCCATTTTGATGCCATTCCATGGATCTAAGGTATGTTGTACATACTGCCCAGAGTTGTCTTGCAAGTTAAGGCTTCCCTTTACTATAAGACTATAAATAATAAACAAAAAAAGCCAAAATTCCACTTATTTTATCCTCCCCCGTGGTTACCGTGTGTTCTTGGAATGGGGGAAGTTGGTGCCACCGGATCCAGACGTGGCATCATCTCCTGCCCCGCATCCCCGGGGCCACCAGCACACGGCGGGTGTGACTTCTGGTTTATTGATGCCAAAAAGCTCTGCCAGAGCCCGTGTCCCACCTGGGCTCTGGCCAGGATGGCAGCAGGACACCCAGCCTGGAGCAGGCTGGATTTTGGTATTGCTAGCACCCTGAGCACTGTGCTCTGCCTGGCCAGGCCGCCGTGGGGATGGGCTGGGCTGGGCTGTGCCGCTCGCTCCCGGGGCTCCGCACCCCGAGCCAGCAGCAGGACCCCCCTACTGGGCAGCGGGTGCTGGATCCAGGCTGGGCACAGGATACTGCAGGAAGTGCATCACCGCCCTCGCCACCTTCTCCGGGGCAATGTTGTAGACAGGGTGCGTGGCCTGCTGTGGGAGAGAGAGGGATGGAGGATGTTAATCACGGAGTCCTGGAATGGTTTGGGTGGGAAGGCACCTTAAGGATCATTTAGTCCAACACACTGTGCACAGGGAATCTCTACCACCCCAGGTTGCTCCAAGCCTGGTTCAACCTGGCCTTGGACACTTAAAGAAATGGGGCAGCCACAGCTTCTCTGGGCAGCCTGTGCCAAGGCCTCAGCAGCCTCACAGGGAAGCATTTCCCATCTAAAATTCCCTTTTTCCAGTTCGGAGCCATTCCCCCTTGTCCTATCACTCCAAGCCCTTGTCCAAAGCCTGACTCCAGCTCCCTTACTCTTTAGCCCTTCAAGCATCTCTAAGCTCTCCCTGAAGCCTCCTCTTCTCCAGGCTGAAGCCCAACTCTTCACTGCCATTGGATCTGCCTTTCTCAGTGCTGTGGAGCACTGGAAGCTCATCTCTGCCCTCCCCAGCAATGCCCAGCACTTACCAGGCAATTCTCAGGGATACCCAGGACCACCTCATTGTGGAGATCTCCACTTCCAAAGTGCTGTGCAATGGCCAACCCACTCAGGCAGTAGCAGGTGTGGTAGAAATCCCGGGATCTGCATGCAAAGAGACGCTGGGATGCTGAGGGGGCATCTGGGCATCCCTGGTGCCAGGCAGCCCTGTGTTTCCCCCCACACTCACTTTCCTGGCTTATCCAGCAGCCCGCCAGCTGGGCACTGGCAGCACAGGAGAATGTATTCCTGCAGTGCCAGCTGGTCGAACATCCAGTGTGCCATGCTCAGCGCTGGATCGCCTGGAAGGGAAACCCAGAGGAGAAACACCACAGAAGGTGTCAAATCCCTCCAGATGCCGTTCTGGGGACAGAGGAAGCCTGTGGCAACTCACCCCTGGCATGGAGTGCCCGATGGAGCAGGGGCAGGAGGCCGGCTTGCCAAAAGGAGTAGCACCCATCCACCAGCTTGTTGCAGCGGCCCTGGAATCCGCCCTCGAAGCGCATCTGCCGCCCGGTCACCCAGTGCTGCGGGGCGATGGGAGCCAGCGTGGGACCAAAGCTCCCCAGCAGGATGAGAGCCCCAGTATCCCGAGAGGGGTCACTCACCAGCAGGCTACGGAGGTTCAGCAGATGTTCCTGCTTGAGGATGACCAGCGCAGCCACGCCACAGAAAGTGTAGCCGCCATGCGCCTCCATGCCCGGCACGCCACCGATCCCACCCTCCCAGTTCTGGCACCTGTGGGAGCAGGGTCAGGGCGGCAGGGACACCGGGAATGTCATCTCCTGTCCCCACCTGTCCCCAGATCTCACCTGGCAATCCACTCGGCCGTCCCAGCGAAGAGTGCAGGTGTCAGGATGTTGGTCAGCGAGGCCACTGAGGCGGCGCAGTAGGCGCTCCTGCGGGAAAAGGGTGCCCAGAGATTCAGGAGATGGGTGCTTAGGGATGTGGCACTGGAACCCCAAAGTGGCACCAGCTCCCTAAAATTACACTGGCTCCCCCAAACAGCACAAAGTCCCTGATCCAGCACTGGCTCCCTGTGACAGCACCCTGCCATGGCAGTAGCTTGTGTCACTTGTCCCCTGCCACGGCACCAGCACCCCAAAATAGCATTGGCTCCCCAAAACTACACCTCCCCATGGCACTGGCTCCCCACCACTGTACCAGCTCCCCCGAACAGCACTGGTACTCCAGTGTGGCACCAGCCACTTCCCAAAACACCATCAGCTCCCCAAAACAAAACTGGGTCCACAAAACTGCACCCTGCCAGGGCACTGGCTCCTCAGAATGGCATTTGCTCCCCAAAAGTAGCACTGACTGCCCAAAACTGTACCCCAAATTAGCAGCGGCTCCCCACCATAGCACCAGCTCCCCAAAATCATACTGTCTCCCAAACATCACCAGCTCCCAGCACTGAATCCCCAGAATGGCACCAGCTCCCCACCACAGCATCTGCTTCCAGCACTGGCTCCCCAAAATGCCCAGGCCCTCCCACAAAAACAGCCTCCCCATGCAGCCCTCACCCACCTGACATCCACCTCTCCACCCACATGCATGAGGAAGGAGCCATCCGGCTGCTTCAGCGAGTACAGGTATTCCAAGAGCTTCTTCCTGCAGGAGCCAGGGGCTGTGAGAGGGGGGACACGCAGCCCAGCTCCCACCCAGCTCCTCCCAGCCCCGGACCTGTCGATGACGCCGAAGGCCTCCTCGGTGCCGATGATGCAGAGCGCGTTGACGGCGGCATAGGTGGGGGCAAGGTGGGGGTGCTGGCCAGGACCCCCCCCAAATCCACCCTGGGGGCTCTGGCAGCGCCTCAGGAATTGGCAGACACTGTGGGAAGGTGGGAAAGGGGCTCAGCGTCACCTGTGCGACCCCGCTGGGGCGATGCATCCCCTCCTGGCCTCGTGAATCCCCCCGAGGTCGAAGCCGGGGGTGTCACCCTCCCGTCTCCATCGTCACGAGGAAGCCGCCGGAAGAATAGGCGGCATTGACGGTGGCAGGGAGACAAAGCACTCCTTTGCTCTGGGGACAGCGGGAGGTGGCACCTCCGGAGTCACGCGGGTGGCCAGCAGCGACAGCGGCCACGGTGGTGTCCCCCCAGCTCTCCCCACTCACTCAGAGGCCACTGAATCGGGAATGGGCTCATCCAGCAGCTCCAGGCTGTGCAGGATCCAGTAGCAGAGCCAGGGGCGGCTGGCATCCAGACACTGCAGGGACAGAGGGGACAGTCAGGGAATGGCACCGGACACGGCAGGAGCAGGCAGGAGTGAGGAGACAGCCAGGAGAGCCCCCAGAGCATCGCTGGGATAAGCATGGGCACACAGGGAATGCTGTGTCCACCTTGGGGCTGGCAAACCCCCAGCAACAAACAGCCCTGGTGGCAGCCCCAGGGTGAGGAGAGCACCCCAGGCAGTGGCTCCAGGTGGCACATCCGGCATTCCTGGTACCTCATAGGCTTCAGTGAGCTGCCGGAGACCTCTCTTCAGGTAATGGAAGTGCTTCTCCCGCTGCAGGACGTACCTGGAATACAGAGAGGACAGGATGAGCAGGCAGGGTGGCCTGAAAAAGCAGGGGGACAGCGGCACGAGGGGCAGAATCCTCCTGCAGCACCCACTGGGGTCAATGGGTCTTTTGGGATGGGAGTTATTTATGGTTATTGGGAGCTCTGATACTCACTGTGAGGAGTGATGGTTTGTCTTGTAGGCATCATAGACCTCCTGCACGATGTCCTCCACCTTGGACTTGTCAGGAAAAATGGGAATAAAGACTATGGTGAGCTCTGGGAAGAAGCTTTGCACATCCCAAAGATGATCCCCACTGAGTCCCACAACTCCTACCCTATCCCAGGAGTTTATCTGATTCACAGCCCCATCTCACCCAGTAAAACCAAAGTAGGAATTCCCAGGAGCTTTGTGCCCCAAATTATACCAGAATCCAGCACCATTCCATGCTGCTTTACAAATCCAGCTTGAGTTTGGCTCAGCACAAGACTGTCATAGAAAACACTCTCCTCCCGCGCACGCTGGGATAACTGGGGACTTGGACACTCTAAGCCACGGTAATCCTCAAGGAAATACCCCGGGATCAGCCGCAGGAGTGAGCAGGGGCCACACGGGGACCTGCATTCATGGCACTGCGTCCTGCCAGGGCACAAGTGAGCAAGAAGAACTCCATGGATTGGGAAACCCGGAGTCACTTTTTACCCCGACAGAGCATACAGGGGAGCTGCCAGGGGCTGGGTCAGGACAGAGGGACAAAGGGGAGAGCCTGGCTGTCCCAGAACTCCTCATCCTCCCCCAGCTGCTGCTGGGGAACATGTCCCGCGGAAGCTGCCGTGGCTGGCGGGTGGCAGCACCGCCGGGCCCCCTAAAACACTGCTCACTGCTGGGCTGTTGTCACAGGGGGCGTGGGGACAGTAGTGTCGTGGGGCTACTGGGATCGGGATCATTCAATCCCATGGCACCCCTGAGTCCCGTCCCAGAGCAGCCAAAAGCCCTGCTCCAGGGCAGCCCGGCACCCCAAACCCCATTCCATGGCACCCCAAAGCCCTGCTNGAGGAAGAAGCTCCCGCCCCGCCCCGAGAAGCTCCGGCACGGGCAAGCAGGGCTGGGGTCGGTGTGACGGGGCCGGGGGGCTGTGAGGAGGCTGGGGGTGCTGAGCACAGAGGTGCAGTTCTGGGCAGTGCAAAGCTGGGTAGGGGGCACGGGATTCAGGGGTGCAGGATCTGAAGGTGCAGGGGTGGAGAACACAGGGGTGCAACCATGAGTGCATGTTCTGTGGGTACAGAGCACAGAGGTTCAGGGCTTGGGGATGCCATGTACATGGGTACACGGTGCTGGATGTAGGGGTGCAAGGGCTGGGGGTGCTGGGCATGAGGGTGCAGGGTCTGTGTGTGCAGGTCACAGAGATGCAAAACATATGGGTGCAAGACTTTGGGTGCCAACAGGGTCCCTTCCACCCTGACGCCATCCAGGGCTCTCCAGAAGCACTAATGGAGAAGGACATCAACGGCTGCCAGGATGGGGCGAAGACAGAGCCAAGCGCCAGGCTGGGCACCGAGGGGACAGAGACACAGGTGAGACCAGGGGAACACCCGTGGGGGGAAGCAGGTGTGTGGTGGCCATCCCCAAGTGGTGACAGCTGCCATCATCCACAGCTGGACGATTTTGTGGGTCCTCACCCTGACTACAATGAGGAGGAAGAAGAGCAGAAGTACTTTCGCCGCAAACGCCTCGGTGTCATCAAGAACGTGGTGGCTGCCAGCCTGGCTGGCACCCTCACTTACAGCGTCTACCTGGGTATGGGACCTCCCAGGGACCCCCAGAACAACTCGGGGTGTTCAGGGCATGGGGTGACCACCTGTGGACCCCCCCAGGTCTGCTGGAGATGCAGCTGATCCTTCACTATGATGAGACCTACCGGGAGGTGAAGTACAGCAATATCCGGTTGGAGGACATTGACCGCAAGGTGCTGATGGGCATCAACGTCACACCCGTGGCAGCGCTGCTCTACACACCCATCCTCATCAGGTACGGCCCCGCCACGCTCCCAGCCAGCATGGATCACTGGCAGGGCACCCACACTTCCTCTCCTTGCCCTGGCAGGTTCTTTGGCACCAAGTGGGCCATGTTCCTGGCAATTGGCATCTACGCCCTCTTCGTCTCCAGCAACTACTGGGAGCGCTACTACACGCTGGTGCCCTCTGCAGTGGCCATTGGCATGGTGATCGTGCCCCTCTGGGCCTCCATGGGCACCTACATCATGCGGTAGTACTGGGGGGCAGGGTGGGTGGGGCATGCATGGGGTGCTGGCTGATCCACTGCTCCATGCAGGATGGCCCAGAAGTACTACGAATACATTAACTACAAGGAGGAGCAGGAGAAGGAGAAGCAGCGGGCACCACGGGACGCCTGCAATGCCTACGTCATCATCTTCCAGACCATCTTTTACTCCTGCTTCCACGTGAGCCCCGGTGGGGTGGCTGGGATGGGTGGGGGACCACGCCAGCAGTACTGAGCGTGCACCCCTCTGCATCCTGTAGTTGAGCTTCGTCTGCGCTCAGATGCCCATGGTCTTCTTCCTCAACAACTACCTCTACCAACTCAACCACACGCTCTTTGCAGTGAGGCACTGCGGTGAGGCTGCGGGTGGGGCGCAGGGCGGCACCGGGAGCCCCCCGCTTGGGATTAACCACGGCCTGTGCCCCACTGGCAGGGACCCTGAGCCACGGCACGCTGCCTGGTTTCAACAAGACGGTGCTGCAGAGCCTTCCCCGCAGCGTCAACCTCATCATCGTGGAGAGCGCCTTGATGGCCGCCGCCTTCCTCGCCATGCTGGTGGTGAGCGCTGGGGCGGGAGGGGACAGGGATGGGCTGGATGATGGCAGGACCTTACCTGCTGGCACTCTGCAGGTGCTGGTGCTGTGCGGCGCGGCGTACCGGCCCATGGAGGAGATCGACATGCGCAGCATCGGCTGGGGCAACATCTTCCAGCTGCCCTTCAAGCACATGCGGGACTATCGCCTGCGGCACCTCTTCCCACTGTTCATCTACAGTGGCTTCGAGGTGCTCTTTGTCTGCACGGGATTTTCCCTGGTAGGATCTGTGACGGGGTGGGAGGTGATGGAGCAGGGACAGGTGATGCTGAGCCCGTGCTCACTGCAGAACTACGGCGTGTGCGCCCTCGGGCTGGAGAGGCTGGCGTATCTTCTCATGGCCTACGGCTTCTCCGCCTCGGTGTGCTCCAGCCTGGCCCTGTGCATGCTGCGCTTGCGCCGGCACATCCCGCTCCTGGCTGGAGCCCTCATCCACGCTGTGCTCCTGGTGACGCTCTTCTGCTGGGCGCCGGAACCCCGGTACCTGGCGCAGGCACCGCTGCTCTACAGCATTGCCGCACTCTGGGGCACCGGCAGCGCCCTCAACAAGACCGGAATCAGCAGTGAGTAGTGGGAAGGTCCTAAAACAGCCTCTGATGTCCCCAAAACGCCTTGGTGGTCCCCAAAATAGCCTCGGTTGTCCCAAGTTTTTCCATACATCTGCTCCTCATGTTCCCTGGCACCGCGAGTTTGTGGCCTCAGTCCTTGGATCCGCAGGACAGACTCACTGTGATTGTCCCCCACGCCAAGGGGACATGGCACAGGAAGGGGACACTGATTCCAGTCTCTGCCACAGTCCTCCTGGGGATGTTGTACAAGAAAAAGGAGCGCCAAGACTTCATCTTCACCATCTACCACTGGTGGCAGGCCCTGGCTATCTTCGCCGTCTACCTGTGGTCAGGGCTGCCCATGAAGGTAAGTCCCAGATATGCCCCAGCCCACTCGAGAGATTCCAGGCTTTTTGGGGACACACCCCCACGACAATCCCAAAACTCCGTGTGCCTCAGGCCAAGCTGTCCATCATGCTGCTGACGCTGGTGGTGGCGGTGGGAACATACCTGTGGATGGAGCGGAAGGTGGCGTGGAACATGGAAGTGCGGCTGCCCCGCATCCCACGCCCACGCCACAAAACACGTGGATACCGCTACCTGGAGGACAACTCAGATGAGACTGGCTCTGACGGTGACGGGGACAAGGAGGATGATGACAGGCACCCAACTGAGGCCACCAGGGAGGACGAGCTGCCAAAAGAGGACGGGGAGCTGCTGGGATAGGGAGAGCCTGTCCTGGGCCTGCTCTTGGTACCTGAGGGGGTTCCACAGCTCTCCCCGGTGGGCCCAAAATTCTACAAACCCCCTCAGGTCAGGCTTGCAGCCCCCAAGCTAAGCCTAAAGCCCCCAGGCAGCCCAGATCCCCCCACATTGGCTGAAGGACCCCCACTGGCCCATGGATCCCCTAGGTCAGGTCCAGAACCTCCAGATTGATCTACAGCCCCCAGCTTGTGGTACAGACCCCAGGCAGGCCCATAGCCCCCCAAATTATGATGTAGCTGCTCAGGTCAGACCTGCAGGCCCCGATGCCAGCCCCAGAGCCCCCACACACAAATCCACAGCCCCTCATACAAGGCTCACACCCCCCCCAGGCAGATCCACAGCCCCCCAGATTTGGCCAAAGCCCTCCCCAGGTGAGGCCCACAGACCCCTGAGCAGATGCACATTCCCTCTAGCAAGGCTTGCAGCTCCCCACAATGTCCTGCAGACCCCAGCCCTCCCGTATTAGCCTATTAGCTTCCAGACCCCTCAGGGCTACCCTGGAGCCCCCCAGGCAGATCGGCCCCTTCCCAGACTGGCCCATAGCCCTTCAGAGCAAACCCACACACGCCCCAGGCAGACCCTGCAGCCCCCCTAGGTTGTCCCGGAGCCCTTCTAGCTCAGCCTGCAGCCCCCCAGGCCGGCCCCGCAGCCTTCCCGACCTATCCCACCCCCATTTTCCTTCAATAAACCCCCTCCCTCCGTGCCCTTAGCCCTCACCTCCTCCATCCTACGGCCGCGCACCCTTAGCGTCCCCTTCCCGAAGCGGAGACTACAGCTCCCGGCGTGCCCCGCGTTGCCCCGCGCGATGCAC